TCCCTCAGATTCTTAAAAGCACGACTTGTAAGTCTACTCAAAAACTGGCTGTGTGGGTGGGTGGGTGGTTGGTCGGGCAGATATGATACTGATGTATGTTTTGTAATAGTAATTCTTACATAGACTAAATTCAGATAGGTATCAGAGTAACTCTTTGAACAGAAGCCCGCCTCCGTCACTCAGGATTAATCCGAAGGTGAGTCCATGAGTTGAGTCCTTGCTAGTGCTGCAAATATTTGACTGTTTGTGTGTCGGATTATCGTGAAAGTTAAGGTAGATATAAGGCATCATGGTTTTAGGTTAGTATTAGGAATCCTGGGTATTGGTAGAGAAGTAATATTTATATGTACATATTGTTTAATCTGAGTGAAACGAGGACGACATAAATTGTTTAATTGTCAGAAGATGTTATAAAGTCGTTTAGAACTGTCCAGAGGTACTGAATTTAATGAGTTTTAAACACAGATGGCCTTAAGATGTATTTTTTTAAACAATAAGACCTAACTGATGTAGATCAGTTCTGTTATATCCATCTATTATTATTATTATATGCACAATTTTGTGATTGAATATTTTCTAATTTTTCGTAACGTTTAAATTGCATTGCGTCTTAAAATATGATGTAGTGATAAGTGCTATATTCTTAGAAATGAGTTACAACAGACTGAAAGAAGCGGCTGGAAAGTACAGACGAAACATAAAGCCAATACACTGTACGGTTGTAAAGATAACAAGAAAAAGTGCATCAGCTTTCTAGAAAGCTGGTAAGAATGTCACAATAGCATTTATAATATATTTATGAACTTTCCTTTTAGGAGCCACAACTCATTTCGTCCTATGGGAATCTTCCAGAAAGCAAAATTTTTAATCTGAGTGAAACGAGGACGACATAAATTGTTTAATTGTCAGAAGATGTTATAAAGTCGTTTAGAACTGTCCAGAGGTGCTGAATTTAATGAGTTTTAAACACAGATGGCCTTGAGATTTCCCTTAATTCATAAGGGAGTTTATTCCAAAGAATGTGTGCTCTGTAAAAGTAAGACTTAGATATGCCTGAACATCATGGTAACTGGTTAAATCAAAACTGTGACATTTGGGGCAAGGGAACAGTAGAAAAGCTTTCCTTCGAAAATCTTCCAGAATGTATCCTTCTACTCTGAAGATTTTCTCTTTAAATGAAATCTTTTTCTTCTTTAATATGGCTTTCAGTGTCTTGTAGTTGTGCCATCCATTATGAACTCACTAGTTTTATTTTATTCTATGTTTATTTCAGGTAAATAAAACAGGCCGTGGTGGGTGTTAAGTAAAGTTGCACTATCAGTTATTTGGCTCCTTCACCAGATGGGGAAACACAGATGGTCATATCATGATGGTCCTATCATGCTCTAGATATTTCTGGTGTCTAAACTCTAAAACTATAAGAGGTATGTACTATTTTGTAAGTCATTGTTTCGTGTCTAAAATAATTATAGAAATAAGATTGATATTGAATATGAATTCTCTTTCTGCCCTTATCTCTTTTTGCTCCACTCTTCTGCAACTATCGATAATCGATACAAAATTTAAATAACGGTTGTTTCAGGCCTCCATAGATTAAATTTTCAGTCGAAGTAAGCTATAACATGGTTACCACTTTCCAGGAACAAGGAAGACAACACCAACTGGAGATTGAGCGGAAATGAAGCTCAGAAGATTTACGAAGATAGAAGGTTAGTATTTCATTGTGTTAAACTTCTAGCCAAGGACTTGAACTGATTTGATCGCCGTATCACCTTTGAGAGAAGGCATTTTTAAAAGCAGGTACAACTCAAGAAGTTGAATAGATGCGAGATTGTGTGTGGTAATAAAATCCCCTACAATATGTATTCACAATGTGAGGTAGAATCTGTTTGTTCTTCTCATTCCATCATTTATCTGTACCTAGTCATCTGTTTTCTACCAAGCACTCTTCCCGCCCTTTCCATTTGTTGGCAGGAGTGGAATAGCTGCCCCCCCCCCCTCCGTAATCAACCGTAATCAAGACCCCCCCCCGGCCCCGGCCCCCTACTGTCGCAGTTATGTCCTTTTAACTTTTTAAGAATTTTAACACGGTTTAGCAATTTTTATCAGTTTAAATCCAACTCTGTAATGTGACTTATAACCGGGTAAATATATATAAAACATATTAATCTTAATACTACACTTCAATAATCAGTAATATCAATTTGTTGCATAACTTATACTGCAAATCCGTTGAAAATTACACCCGAATAAACATTTAACGGCTACATTTCACAATTTAGAAGCAAATTTGTTAGGGGCCCATGATTCATATTAAAACTCTTACCACAGCTACAGTGAACACATTTCCACCTTTATCTGAACGGAGATAACACTACCTTACACTTCCATTAGTTTACCGTTCAGGATGTTACACTCAAATAGATAACGGTGTAAGATAGCGTGTAAGCGGGAATCAGTTTGAGTGTATGTTATATTAGTGGTCGGTTTTGTGTGTAAGGGGGTAATTTCTGAAATAACTTTATTATGGCGTTTAATACTAATAGATTAGACTAGTGAATTACAAAATAGGCATCTTAGACGGGGGATTGGTTTAAACACATCATATTATATAATAGATTCGTCCTGGTTTTTGAGTGAGAATTCGCGGGAAGAGTCGGGATATCAAATAGAGCGATATAATAGACACCCACGCAGAATCCCTCTATAGCACATTTTCCACTTGTCAAGCGTGTTTAATTGAATTTAATCCTTTCCGTTATCTATTGACGGTGGCTCCTGTAAGATGTGTAATGTGATACGTGCGCATGATACAATATAGTGTGTAATATATAGTGCACCACTGTTATTTGTTTTGAAACTTCCCGCCAGCCAGTCTGAGGTGACTCCCGGACTCATCTATAATACATAGACATTCCGCCCTCAATATCTATTTAATCTATCTGTTTAAGTGTAAACCCGAGCGGGAGCGAGGGTTTACACCTGAGAAAGTCAACTCGTGCTCTAGCGCGCACTCCTTTCTACCAGATACTCCATAAGAATTTCAACCTCGCACTGTCACGTGTTTTGATGACTTGTATCACGTGACTAACTACTACGGCGCGCATTGGTAAAAAATGTCACGTGACCTATGGCTTAACGTAAGAACTATAAATACACTTGATCTACGTATCGGTTTAATTGCAGGCGCTGGCAAAACTCCAGCACACTGCTAACATTACCACCCTACGCGCGTGGGGTGGACTCCTGGGGTGGACTTTTATTCAGCGCGTATTTTGTAGCCTGTTCAACTTGACGTTTTGATTCGTTACTATCTCAATGTCACAGATACACAGAATGTGAGGTGATCATCTTAAAGAGAAACGTCTCAGCTTTCACCTGGTGTAAAGTTTATCTTTGTACTCAAAATATAGCTCGCTCAGTGTGCAATAGAAGTTGACAATACAATAACCACGTCTGCGACCGGTCGTCAGATACCGGAGTGTTGCACAAAATTGGGTCCCTAAATTAAAATTCTATGACACAGTTACCATGCAGAAATGTCTGGAGTAACATTTGGTGAAAATTTGAAGGGTCTACTGTAAATATTGCAAAAGTTATTGAAAACAAACTAGCTTAATCAGAAGTTTTTGGGAAAATTTCAAATTTTGTACGTAGTGGGGTCTACAGGGGTGGACTCTTGCGGCGCGCATCTGACGGAGTGGCTTTTTCAACAGCCGTCAGTACGGCCAATATCTGAGCACAAATTATTGTGAGTAAGACCTTAATGATCAGCTATGAACCCCTCACTAGAGTAGTAACCGTATCTAAAAACAAGGAAATGTTATTCCGTCAAAGCTCAAATTTTTTACTCTTCTCAGTGCAGTTAGTGTTACTATGAATGTACTAGCTAAGTATCGTTGATCGTAGCTGCATTACACAGTAGAAAGTAACCAAGGAAGACTGCTGATTAACGAAGCAATTTCAACGTGAACAGTTCCAAAATACATAATCATGGCGACGATAGTTCAACTTGAACCTTTATAGTTTTTACAGTCTAAAATCACAATAAAATCACGTGAACTGCAAATCACAAAATCAAATCACTCAAATCTGATAGTCCCGTTACAGTACGCTTTCGTGACAACCTCAACGCTTAAAAAATAAATATTATCCAGTCTTGTGACCACCGATGGCCCTAACTCTCCCTTGTCCGCGAGGAGCATCGTTGCGACCATGGGGTTTCAGTTCTTTGTTCTTCCCACTCGGCTTCGATAGATCGAATTGGCTGGAAGTCAATCTATCAGAAAGACCTTTGTCGATCTCAGGGGCGTGGTAAATTGTGGATGTCGGAGTATAAAGCTTCCTGAAAAGATTGAGACATTCACTCGGTCTGTTGTAAATATCAAATAGTCCTTGTAGGCAGAGATTTAACTTATGTTGGGTTTGATAACTAGAGAAGGCGATTTGATATTCATTGATAGTATAAGCATATAAGCATAAGTGATAAGTTTATATACCCTTTTTATGGTACCTCGAGGCTCGATATCTGTATTCAGTAATCATCACTCAAAATCTACTTATTAAATTTATTAACTAAACAAGTTAATGTATTACCGTCCTAGAGAGGTTTCCTGAGAATTTGAAGTCTCTGTAGGTTGCTGGCATGTCTACTAAGCTCTTCGATTGAGGAGTTTTGGTTCCCTCGGCGGTCCAAATGATTTATAATGCTGTGGGCATTTTCAACATCTATCGAGGTAAACGCCCTCGCAGCATAACCTGTAGAGAATGAACATGTCATCAATGTGAAGTTCAATGATAAAAATCAGAGTGGCCGATTTCAACGGGCAGAATTCTAATATCATGGCCATGGGGAATGGACTATTTTTTGTCGATTTTGCAAACCAAACTGGCAAACGATTGTTGATTTTCGTCACTAGTCTAAAATGAATGCAAACGTTCGGCCGAACATTTACATGATTAGAAACTTACCGGTTTCTTTCGTTATTATGTACAGACATGGCCAGGCTTGGGTTCCGCATACGATATCTTCTATCAGATTAAAGTTGAACCCACACTTTGTACTGCTCGTGGGAGGAGGAAAGCAAACGGAGACCTTTTCCATGAGCATCTCGTGTAGTACCATCATCATGTCGATTCTGATATCAGCTGCAAAATTCGTCTATTACTAAATGCTAGCTTTTCGAACTTCGTATCTTGGAAATAACAACTTCTATGAAAGAACACACACACACACACACACACACACACACACACACACACACACACACACACACACACACACACACACACACACACACACACACACACACACACACACACACACACACACACACACACACACACACACACACACACACACACACACACACACACACACACACACACACACACACACACACACACACACACACAGACAGATACACACACCCACAAACACATACAGACATAGACACACACACACAGAGACACAGACATACAGGCATACAGGCATAAACACAGACACAGACGGACACACAGACAGACACACAGACAGACACAGTTACACACAGACAAGGACACACAGACACACACCCACAAACACATACAGACATAGACACACAGACACAGGCATAAACACAGACACACACAGACACAGACGGACACACAGACAGACACAGTACACACAGACACACACAGACACACACACATAAACACACATAGTTCACTTCAGTGCACTACATTACAATTACAGACACACGCAGTACAATCAGAGACACACACACGATACAAAGACAGACACAGACACAAACACACAGAGTACACTTCAGTACAATCACAGACGCAGGCACAAAGACATATACAAGAAGAGCAGATTGAAGTACCTTCATTTGCAGATGTTGACGCATTGATCTGTGGGATATGTTCTTCAGTCTGTAACTGATCATCTGCTAGAACTGTCTCATCTGGATCAACCGGAGGAGTATCTTCCGGCAGGAGTCTGAGTGGGTCTATCGGGACAGCCATGGATCGCTCTCCCTACCTTGTTGAATTAAAGACAAAGGTCAACGACGGATGTCGCATGTTAGTCCTGTAACTAAATGTAATCCAAAATAGTGAATAAATAATTTTTACATCTGAACAATTGTATGTCTGAATGGTGATTTTTAATCAATGAACAAAAGTTCAGGATTTTACCTTCTGTTAAGCTGTTAGCAATGACTCTAGCACCCTCTCCCTACAAAACGACCATATCTCGGTCTGAAGCTTTAAACCGTCTTGCCTCAGCAGCCATCTAGCACAGTCGACCTGTCCTGTTAATTGTGTGATCATCAAGTTACCAAATTTAATCCTTCAATATTCAAATAATTGATTATTAGACAAAACAGAGTTTAGAGCTCGACGTATGCTTCAGGGTTTCACACTGTGCTGTAATCAAACGCATGACTAAAACCTCCTGCTACTATTACCAATAAACCCATATTGTTAAGGCGGTCGAATGATTTACCTGAGTTGATCGCGTCCATGAAAGGGTTAAACTGCGTTCTGTCCAGCTTGTTAATGTCCGTTCCAGCAGCCAGCAGTGCCTCCGCCTCCGTCACTCTCCCTGCTTTGCATGGCCAGTGAAGCGTAGAGCTCCCCTCTAAGCTCTTTGACGATCCGACGAAGGATCCAGATTCCCTTCTTTTCTTTTGAGATTGCTTCAATTCTTCCTGGAGTATGCGGATTACCATTTATATACTTCCATACAGGGCGCGTGAACAATCAGCAATGAATTATCAATTAATCAATCTAGTTTTTGAGTAGAAAGTCCACAGATTGTGATACATTGGATTTGATATTGGAAAAGACATAGCTTACCAAATACCTTTTCATGGGCTTTTTGGAGGACAGGGATGACTTATTCCTGCGTGCCATTACACCATAACTATCTGCTGTAACAGCAAAAATTAGAATTATGTCGGACATAATTCTAAAAAATTGGAACATCGTAGTTAATCAGTGTGGTGCTAACAACAGAGAGCGATTTGAACGGTAGGCAATTTCATAAATTCCATTAACGCGATATAAGGATGATTGGAACAGGCTAAAATCTACTATGTAGCATTGATAACTGGCTATATCGCTGCATTAAACGATAAAAGTATTGCTAACTATGGATATTCTAAGTGATCTAGGCAGAGGGGAACCGGCACAGCCAGATTGCGTTGTCTTCAGTGACTAAGTTTCACGATAGTAAAATTGACCTTATTTATTTTTAAAAAGGATGCACAGTTCAAGCAATAAATCGATCAGCTGCTCATATGATATTTGCATTTAAAGGAGGGCCCAGTGCAGTGACAAGTAAGTCTGTTAAGGCAACATTTAGTTCTGAGATTAGCTGAGTCTTGACAAAGATAAGTTGAGTTTCGAGAAAGTGCACACGGATAAAGTTATCAAGTGAAAATGATAAGACTAAGTTAGGGTCCAGTCAACAGAATGGCAGCTGTAACAGAAACAGTTCATTGGATAGGAGAGTAGGGGATTATGACGGAGTGAAGTTTATATAGCAGGGCAAACAAAAAACAACTGACAGCACTGAGCAAGTGAACTGGAAAATTGAGGAAGGGAAATAACTGTGGTTGTCAGCCCTTTCCGTAGCAATCAGGATTTCCCACGAGATCGATCAGGCAATCAGGATTTCCCACGAGACTGCTCCATCCGATGCGCGCACTTTTGTCACGTGACGCTCAAATCGTTGTCACGTGGTACAGAAGAGAGGTTCCTAGAGCGTTGATCTCGACAAGAGGGAGTTTCTCACGGTTTATCTTCAATAACTATCGCTATTTTTATAGTAGAGAGTTGAAACTTTCACCAAATGTTTCCCTAGACATTTCTGCATGGTAACTGTGTCATAGAATTTTAATTTAGGGACCCAATTTTGTGCAACACTCCGGTATCTGACGACCGGTCGCAGACGTGGTTATTGTATTGTCAACTTCTATTGCACACTGAGCGAGCTATATTTTGAGTACAAAGATAAACTTTACACCAGGTGAAAGCTGAGACGTTTCTCTTTAAGATGATCACCTCACATTCTGTGTATCTGTGACATTGAGATAGTAACGAATCAAAACGTCAAGTTGAACAGGCTACAAAATACGCGCTGAATAAAAGTCCACCCCAGGAGTCCACCCCACGCGCGTAGGGTGATTACTTGAACTCGTACACACTTGGACTAGTTCCAGAACTTGTCTCGATGATTACATTAGTCCGGTTAATTTTGTCGTAGCAATTGCCCTGTTTTATATAAGCCATGTATTATAGTCGTCTACTTTGATGAACTTCATGACACGATATCATTATTAGCTCCACCTTTTATCGCTTGCCAGGCTTAACTCGACGCCCCTTATCGATATTCGTTTAACGTTCTGACTGAGGAATGTTTAAATAGAACGCCAATTTCAAATGTCATAGTACCTTAGTTTTATTTATCTAGTAGTATAATATACTCCCCAATTCCATTTCATATTTTCCATACTGATATTATATAGCTAGAATTAAGAGTAAAATGTCAAATTTGTTGGTCCTAGCACTAACCCGGAGGGGTTTATAACACATAACACCGGCACGCTTAAGTTATATTAAAATAACCCCTTGTCCTAAAGCACGTCGGGGTTATTTTCATAATAATCCGTCGTGCTTCGCTCTCGAAATTATTATCAATTTTTCACGGGAAAAATTGAAGCATAATCCCAGCGCATGCCGGGGTCATGTGTGTAAAAAAATATCCTACACAACCGAAGATACAGCCAATTAAAATGTTGCTCGTACTAAACACAGTGTAAATCTGTACTCCTAAACCTGGCTAACCAGGATCTAAATGTGTAGTCCGCAAAGCTCGGATACATGTTGATTGCAGCAGGTTAGCAGCTTGAGGATCAGTTTCTACATTAGCATGATTCCTTTTCTATCTGTGATTTAAGAATAGTTTAGAAGTTCAATTTAATTTTCTGAGTAATTATGGGATATATACCTAAATTGACTTAACAGCTCAACACCGCATATCATATACGATATACATAGTATATACATTCGGAAGCGGTACAAAGTAAACGATCAACCTATTTTTCCAACTTTAAGCTTTATGATTAATCGTCAGGGACATAAATGATAAACGAAATAGAAATAAGTCAAGTAATATGACAAGTAATAATAAACAAAAATATTCCTACAATGAATTCCTAACTAAACATTTTCTAGAGTGGCGACATTTTGACATAAGATTCGATCTCTTATTGAATAAGCTATATCATATATTATAATATATATTATAATGAAGGGGTTCATTAGAAATGTTTGTGATCATCCCCAACCTGTGGTTATTACGTCCTTAAAGTCGAATTCTTAAAGGGGCCATCTATTTGAGGACGTTCGCCAAAATCGCAGATTTTCAGACCACCCCCTCCCCCGGTCCGGGTGTGTCCGAATTTTCAAAATCACCCCCCCCCCCCTCCCTCCCCTGGACGTCTGGATTTCCAGCTACTTTTAAGAGTACGAATAAAACTCGGCTCTCATGAGCTGCTCTGGGAATCGACTTCTCGTCCAAAATACAGGGATCTAAACTTACAAAGTAATTAGTGTCAAAGAGTTGAAATAAATGGGACTTTTTCGTAAATTCTGCAAAAATTTCCGGACTTCCGGATTTTCAGAAACCACCCCTTCCCCCTGGCCGGATTTGTCCGAAATTCCAAAACCACCCCCCTCCCTATTTGCCGGACGTCCTAAGTAGATGGCCCCAAATTAACTTTCGTTCTACTTACACCATTTCACACATACTCAGGACTCCCAAACTCAGCTGTTGACATATTGGGTAAAATGGGAGTGTGTTGTAGCAGCCGAACCGCACGCGATATCATCAAGAAAGCAGGCTTAAACACGGATTCGATGATAAAGAGCATTATTGAGTTCCAGAAGGAAGGCAAGAAAACCCCAGAAGAATTAGACGCTAAAGAATCACCCGTACATTTTTATCGGGGCAAATAGGATTCCTCATACGCTTATCTAACCGTACGTATGATTTTTATAATCTCAAAGCCTGACCAGGGGGGGGGGGGGGGCTGACCATATTAAAGTACATTAAAATATAGGTTTCCCGATTTAGGGCCAGGGATATACTTTAATATGGTCAGCTCCCCCCCGCCCCCCCCCCCAATTTCTGGCATTATCTACTTATAAAGCCTTTATATCTCAATTTACATAATAGACGACTTTCAATGTATGTTTAGGGACTGGTGGAATTTCTATTGGGAACAGAGAGCAGACCTACAAACACCCGGAACAGCGGCAATCTCCCCTGACTGTTTTGGTACTTAATAATTTTAACGTCGTAATTGGAAACGCCAGATGGGGGAAGGAACAGAAGATTGACGTGGTGCATGTTATCGCGAAGCCACAAAAATTCTTCGCTCCTTCAGATATGTCCAAGGCTGCTCCGTCACTCATTGACAGGTTTTAATTAAACTACGCGTTGATTATATTTAATGAACTCAAATATTTAAGTTTGATTAAAACAAAAACACTATTGGTATTATGTACGCCTATTTTCAGCGCCAGTAATTTTTAGAATTAAAATTACTGGGTTCGTGTTAATCACTTTTTCTTATTCGCACAGAAAAGCACCTACTACCGACCAGCACGAGCGGAGAGTTAAAAGTAATGGAGGAGCAGCTGGTAGGGATCGCCATGTCCACGCTGACTGAAAGGGAACCAACTTTGTCGATGATACTGAGACATCTCCCCAAGCGCCATGAACACAAAAACAGTAATGTCATGGCCTTGGGGACTGTGTTAGTAACACTTACTCGGTATCATCGACCAAAATCAAAACCTCGACAGCTGGGAAAATTATACAGATCCTAAATGACTGTATGCAGTACAGCAACATTAAAAGGGTAAGTTACAATAATAAGGTACGCCAATGTGGAAAAAAATCAGCTAAGTATCATATCACAGAATATAACAGCAGCCTTTTTTATATTTGAAATAGCAGGAACAGCTTGTACACAGCTCGGTTGACCCCAATAATATAGTCTTATTGCCAAAGTTCCACAAGTAAAGATGAAAAACTCATTTAATCTACAAGATAAATGTTGTGCGAGATTAATACCTAGCATTTCGATGGAATTATTAAGTCTTAATTTTAGATTTGATACCATAATTTAATATCCAACTTTTGCTGAAATTATAAAGTCATAAATCTTCAGATAACTTAGATCGCTGGTGATCAACTGACTCAAGAGCGCATCCAGAACGCCAAGATCGCCCGAGCAAACGTTCTTGACAATTCTCGAGTGAAACAGATGATTGAATACGATGGAAATTTCCATACACAGATTACTCTACTCACAGTAAGAATATTGAAAACGTTTACATTTTCGGCGAATTTTGCTTTCTCAAAAATGTAATGTTAAGTTTTTGGCCATTGAACCGTATAATTATAATAGTTTTTGCAGGCAACGATGAAATTAATATATTCGGAGTATTCGAAGCTGGACAAATCCTCGTTTACCGGGTACTGCCACTCATCGCAAAATTCTAAAGCTGCAACATTCAAAGTGAAAGACTCGTTCACAAAAACTTGGAGAGTATTTAACCTTTTAACCTGTATTGGCAAGCAATGCTCCATTCTGCCTGGAGAGAGATGGCTAGCGAACACGCTGACCTAGTCGAGTCGATTGAAAAGGTGTTGAAAGATTCTGGCCCTGCTGCTGCAGTAACAAAGTTCCAGTGAGTTTATAATTAAGTTTATAATTAAGTTTATAATTAAGTTTATAATTAAGTTTATAATTAAGTTTATAATTAAGTGAAAAAGTACTTTATACTAAATGTTTTGAGCTTTTCTAAAAAGATTTGTTTTTGTCGCATACTTAACCTAATTTTCCTAATAATAACTATATATAGTTATTATTATTTAACTTAAATTATATATATAATTTAAGTTATGGCATGAGTCAAAGTGATTTGCGATAACCCACAATATCAATTCAGAGCTTACGTACAACTTCTGATAAAGAGGGTACCCAAGTTTCAAGAGGAAGACTGGGTTTCAAATGTGCCGCATCCTTAAATGTCGGGATTGTACGGTAAGTAAACATTTTGATCTAACTAAGTTCAAAAATATTTTTTTGTAAATAGTGTTTTTTGTTAGTAATTTGCGTTATAGTGCTTCGGTTGTTGTCCTATAAGCAGTCTCCAACCAATCAGGGCATTCATTGAGTATGCTTTCAGTACCTTTCATGTCTTGTGCACAGTGAACTCATTAATTAGCCACCGAAGAAAAATTCAGTAAAAAATTAAAAATTAGGGTCGAGGAAAACTGATATATCTGAAAATGTCCTGGTAGGACATTTTCATAATTTTTGTTTTATCAAAGCTTTCTTCGGATATTCAGTTCCTCGATCGTGACTTGTGTCACACTGATCGATCGATTTTTGACGACAAGGCATACAATTTGGGAAAAAATATCAAACATCTTGGTTATTGTATAGTTGTAATCTGTGCGGATGAAATGCAGTTCAGATCACCCTAGCCCTCAGCCCTGTTATTTTGAGTAAATATAGACTCTAACTCAATATTATGCTCTTGTACCAAAATGCTGTCATATACTAAAGCATGGTGGGCCTGTCACTTTTATTAATATATTATCTTGTAACGCTCTGTGCAAAAAATGTATGT